ATATAATTTTGATATTATCGTCAATGTCTAATCTTACATGCAGATGAATCTTTCTACTTTTCATCTTCCTCCAATAACTTCCTGAAACCCAATGAACGTGTGCCTTGCTGGTGTAAATACAATGTGCGTGAAGGTGAAAAAGAATAGATAATATATATATATATATATATATATATATATATATATATATATATATATATATATATATATATATACATATACATATATATACATATATATACATACATATACATACATATATATATATATATATATATATATATATATATATATATATATATATATATATATATATATATATATATATATATAATTCTCTCTCTCTCTCTCTCTCTCTCTCTCTCTCTCGCTATATATATATATGTATATATATATATATATATATATATATATATATATATATATATATATATATATATATATTATATTATATATATGTATTATTTATATATGTATATATATGTTATATAAATATATATATATATTATAAATACACACACACACACACACACACACACACACACACACACACACACACACAATTGTGTGTAGGTATGTGTATATATATATATGTATATATATATATATATATATATATATATATATATATATATATATATATATATATATATATGTATATATATATATATATATATATATATATATATATATATATATATATATATATATATATATATGTATATATATATATATGTATATATATATATATATATATATATATATATATATATATATATATATATATATATATATATATATATATGCATATATATACACACACACATACATACATACTTACATACATACATATATATATGTATATATATATATACATATATATATATATATATATATATATATATATATATATATATATATATATATATATATATGTATGTATGTATGTATGTATATGTATGTATATATGTATGTATGTGTGTATGTGTGTGTGTGTGTGTGTGTGTGTGTATTTCATAAATCATATTTATATATTCTTACTGTTTCTCTGAAGAAACTCACAATAGCATCATTATGTCCAATGTTGGGAAACCCTATTCCTTAAAGGCATAAAACCAAAAAGATGCCTTCCCACTGATAATGGTTAACGGTTACAACAAATGAATGTGCTTTCTCTGTTCAGTCCCTAGTAATAGCGAGTCATTAAAGTAATTCATTGGCATAAATCATCAGACTGTGATTAAGATGTCTGTTTGTACATTCGTAAGTCCTTTGCCGTTTTGATAAACCTTTCTGATTTTTATGTTGACTTTTATACGAAGGTCACTAGTCATGGTATGTTAATTCTATCGTTCTAGCCAGTGTTAAAAGTTTTCATGAAATGTGACATTTATCTTTTGGATTTTATAACCATGCAAAACCATACATTAAAACCACTGCATATATTTGAGTTTAAAAAAAATTGGTATTTTAAATTATGTTAAAGCTGTGCAATGATATATGTTAAAATTTATAATTAAGAGTACTGATTTGGATGCACTTACCAAGTTTTCAATTTCATACTCGTCACTACATAGCCCAAATAAAATTTAGTCTTCATGCATAATCAATGCTAATAATTTGTAAATAATATATCTCTCAAATTAACACTCGATTCACATTAAGCAAATCCCTGAAATAAATTCCACTTGCACCATTAATGTGTCATTCACGGACATGTTTAGATGTATACATACAGTGTATGTGACATGTGAAGGCTTGCTGTTTCTAAGCATATGATATACTTCCAATAGCTGGAACTGTTATTTTTCTAAGGTGAAACCCAAAAAGCTATTTGCATTTTTTAGGTTAATGTACAGCTTATAAAGAAAAAAAAAGAAAAAAAAAATTATATTTATTACCATCCGTGCAAGTTGTAGATTTAAGGATACCTCGGGCTGTGATTCTCCCTTTTCTTGTTGGTCGATCAGTGACTGACGAGTTTCTCAATGTGCCTGGGGAAGAATACCAGAAAGTGTCCTGTTGCAGAGTCTTTTTTTTTTTCTTTTTTTTTTTCCTGATGAGAATCCCACCGTCATTCTTTCTTTTTTTTTCTTTTTTTCTTTTTTTTTTTTTACCGGCTAACTATATTCTTTATAGTTTTGTTAGGATTATGCTCTGTGATTCTCAGAAAAATCATGTTAATGGCATACATCATCCTTTATATTCAGATTGTGCTTATATTTAGCATTTCTCATGAGAAATTCTGAATAATTAGTAAAGATGATGAAGAATTATTGCATCGCAGTTGTTATACACTTCTCATTTACCTTTTAACCTATTTGAAAAAAAAATCTTAATCAGGATATGAACTATATATAAGTAGAAGTCTATTGCCTTATACATTTTAAACGTTTCTCTCATAAGGTACTGAAAACTGAAATTCATGACATTTATAATACTGATAAAATACTCAGAGAAATAACTGCTTCTTAAAATATATACAAGCAATAGATTAATAATATCTATGAAACAGTAATACAAGATACTGAGGATGTATGATAAGAGAAAAATAAATTATGTAATATGTGTAATTATGTAATATGTAATAATAACTGATTGGTTTCTGACATCTAGTTGATGAAATTTCATTGTGTTTTCTATAGAATTGCCTTTAATCACAATATGAAACTAAGATTAGTGTATAAATGTTTGTTTAGAAGAAGAAAGCATTCATACCTACAGAAATCACATGAGTATTTATGACATTCATAAGAGTTGGGATATTATAAAAGAAGTCTTTTATGCAAAAAATTCTGATTTATGGCTTGGCAGATACTGTCTTTTTTAAAATTAACATTGAGAAATGATCTTGTATTGTTTATTGTTAGTTTTAATATAAAAAAATATATATATTTTTTATAGCCATTATTATAATTTTTCTTCTTTTATGACCACAAACTATTTTCTTATTATCAGTATTATAACCAGCATTATGCTTGAATCATTGCTGTTAATTGCTTTCTTCAGCCATTATTACATTTATAAGACACTGTTGCTATTGGAAAAATCATTAGTTACTTAAAAAAACATAATTGATATAATTATTATTTTCTTTAATACTGCTATTCTAATATTTTAGTTTCCTTGTTGCCCTTGCTGTTTTAATATACATCTTTATTTGCATCAAAACAGCATTAAATATAGCAGTGATCCTTATAATTCTTGCTATCATTTTCCGTTGTGAAACATGAATTCACCAAAACCATTACTTACTTTACATTCAACATGTAAATTAAACAGCACATACACAAGTGTTTTATTTGATACGGTGTTGAAATAAACAAACATTTGAAATCATCCCTATATTCATTCCCTTACACCTACAGGCCTTTGGCATTTCATATACCAAAGTGTAATTAGTTAACTGACTGTGTGTACTTGGTATTGAGATATTTACTTAAGGTAAGGATGTATGAAGCACTGTGCCATTTTCTAAATTTTTTGTTATAGTATCTTATATATGTATAAAAATGTATATGTATTCTATTATGTAAATATTTAGGTAATTCAATCACGTATTTATATATATAAGTACCAAAGTAGATACTCTGCCAAGGCATTTTTATATGTGGAAACTGTCCTGTCATATCCCTACAGTGTATGTAAAAGATATCAAGCTTTGAATGTTTCATTGCAGGTAAAATCTTATTTATATGTATTTATTTGCATATATATATCATGTTATTTAATAAGTTATTGTTTGTTATTTATTTGCTTGTTAGAACTGTGTTCTTTTTGCATCACAGGTTTATCTGATGTTAACTTTTGTATAAAGGTATCACAAATGCAAGGTTTGTTCTATCATTATCCTAGTTAACATGAACAAATATCCTATATAATCCTTGAAGAAAAGAAAAATAAACTTGTGTAGAAATCTGGAACATTTTACTTTGGAATGTTACCTGCAGTATCAGGCAACCTGTGAAGATTTAGAATAGTTTAAAGAAAGAACTCTTCTAAGTGAATATTATTTTTGGGTAACAGGATTTAGGTCAAAACATAAGTGTCTCCTAACCATTCCTGTATGACTAAATGCCGCAGATACATTGCAAGATCATCTTTACAAAGCATATAGATCAATTCAAGATCTTTACTCAAGTACAAGCAAAAGACAAAATTATATAAACACATGCACTCTGTTATGCATTAAACAATCTGTTGAGGACAAATTTATAAACAATGCCCAGAATTCAGTTGTGAGCATCCAGAAATTTTTTATCTTTTGTTTTTCTTTGTATGATATGTTATATTTAAGTAGAATGATGAATTTCAAAGCCTTTGAAGAGTAGTGGCTTCAAATATAGACTTATGAAGGAGACAGAGACTAGATGACTGTGATTATCTTTAATGCACTGGTTCTGGGTGATGTGACCATCATGTCATGAAAAGAAAAGAAAAAAAAGAAAATTCTTGTTTGCTGCTGTTATGGGGGTTTAGACCTTAGCCCTTAACTCAACTAATTTTGTATAGTCTTTTCTTTTTCTTGACTGCTGTAACTGGCAGTGTAGGGTGAGTTACACAAAAAAATGAAGAATATGAAGATATAAAAAAAATGGCATAAATAACAAAATGTTACTTATTCCTATTATTATTACAAATAGCTGTAGATTATCTAAAGAGATGATATGGAGTCTGTGCAAGGAAAACAGTCTATCATCATCTTCATACAGCATATTGAATGACAAATATAGAAGTTGAAAATGGAAAAAATAGGAAAAAGAGATAACATTGCAAATAGAAGGCAAGGAGTCTTGATACCACACAAGTGCTTGTGTGGGCCAGGCCTACAAGCCACACACTCAGGAGAGAACCCACTCAAGTAAGCTTAATGCCTGGAATTGGGGCAAGTACAGGTTGTGATGCACACAGACAAAAAAAAAAAAAAGATAAAATAAAACCTTTTTAGTGATGCATATTTGCAGAGAGGATACAAAAGCAAATGAAAAGCCATTTCCCATATTGTAATATATTTAATGATATATTATCATACTCAAAGATAAATTTTTTTGTTTCTAGCAAAAAGGACTAAAATGGAAAGAAAAAAAGAAGAAAAAAATCTATTCATAACTACTTATTATTGTTAGCTTTGGGATACATTCTCAGGGGCTGTGTAGAACCAAAGACTTTGAACACGTGGACAGCATCCCTTTGCAGAACAAGAGTGTAGAAATTGTCTCCATTGGAACGATATGAGTGTTCCTGGTGACCCCAACTAACAGGCGAGTCTGGATGGCCATAGACTGTCACACTAAGCCAAGGGACAACAGTGGGACTTCGCTCTAACAGCCAGCTCCTGTAAAATATGGAAATGTATGAAAGTGTACCTTCTTACAGTTGTTTTGCTTAACCCATTGGCCACGGATTTATGTTCTGTCTCCTGTTGGTTTTGGTGAATTTTGCTACCTACAGATGGCTCCACATGTACTCAGCCGGCAAGGAGTCTATCAGTAGGCCCTAGTTACCGACCCTGATTTTCCCATTCATTGAATTGGCGGGAAAATTAATATCATTGCTTTCGATGCTGTTATTATTGTTACTGATGTTATGATAATTGAATTGTCATTAGAATATTTTTGACAATAAGATGATACAAAAAAAACTTTCCGAAAGTGAAGGAAAAGGCTAAACAGGTGAAATAGGTAGTTCTTGATAACTGGCTATTTGGTGATTAAGAACTTGTAGAGCCATCTAGGTGTAAATACAATAAATAAACGTGTATCAAAGTGGGTATGGCATCTATTCTTGCCAACCTCGGCCAATGGGTTAATTTGTTGCATTGACATAACTGGGAAGAATAGGGCAATTCATCACAATTTTCATTGAGTTACAATATGTACAGTTGCTTTCCAAAAATAGGGGATTCATGCAGAAAATAACAACAATACAACCATTACCAAAGAAAAATAGCAAAGAATTAGAAGAGAGTGCAATTGTCCAATCCAATCCAATCCAATGCTGCCACGAAATTGTAGTGTTCACTATAGTATTACTTTGTGAAATGCCTCTACATTTTTTTTTTTAAATCTTTTTCTTTACAAATGCTATCATTACCAATCTTCTTGCTATTATTATAGACTTTATAATCATTATAATGTTATAAACATTACTAATGGGAGTACAACATAACAGCAAATATTTCCAAAAACTAAAGAAAAGGGTAAACAAATGAGAAAGGTAGTACAAGGAATTGACTCACTGGTGAGCCATCTATGTGTAATTACAAATGATAAACTAAACTCACAATGGGCATGGCATGTCTGTACGTACCATCCCGAGTGACATCAGGTTAAGAAATCAATAAATAAATACATTACTAATATAACAAAACAGATAATAAAAAATTACAGTCCCACCAAGTTTTTAAGCTTGATTATATACATCAAGTACATAAATAAACTACAACATCTACTTCTGCTGTACTGGATGACAAGAAAAGTATATAAAACAATCAGCTAAATATCCATTAAAAAAGTGGAGTGTAGTTTCTCTTCTAAACCTTACAACACACTTTTAAAAAGAGGAGTGTTGTTAACTTTTTCCAATACAAAAGAAAGAAAGAAGAAAAAAATACATACCTCAAAGTGCTGACAAGGGAAACAATATATTCTGGGGTGAAAAATCCAGTACAGTGAACTGCATTCACATTGCTGACCATGTCATATACCTTTGGCCTCACTAATTCACACATAGAACTTGGGTCAGTTTCTCTGTAAGAAAAACAAAAAAATGAAATAAAAATATTTATTATGTATAAATACATTTGAAAGCATTAATTTAGTGAACGTTAAATGTTCTCAGTGGCAGTGGTTTAAGGAATATTGTCTATTAGAAGACATGAAGACTAGCTTTAGGATGAATGATCACATTGCAAAGAATTATGACAAACTCCACCCACACCAATCTCCATCCACTTGTATAATGGGTAAGAACAACAATCAACCTTAACATACTGAAATTGTTTTCGATCCACTCACAATCTTATTCCTAAAGACTGGCAACCTATCCATTCCAAGAGGTCTTCTGGCTCCACCTCATCTTCATCCGTCTGGTTCTTGTCTAATCTCGGCATGGCCACTTCAGATGCTATGCTCTTATATACATCTGGTAATTGTTCTTCTACTGCAAATCCAAGATCGTGGAAGTATTTGGCTACTGATGAAGGGCATATATCACCATCTGCCATTTGAGAGAGAGAAAGCTAACTTAAAATCAGTGTCACAAATAACGCTCTTTTGTGCATTGCCAATATGTGGATGAATGTGGAGTGTACTCAGATAAACAATCAAATTTATAATTATGTTTGTAGAAAACATGTAAAACAATATACAATAAACTGAGATGGACAAAAATAAAATAACAAAAAGAAAAAAGGTAAATAAATAAATAAAAATAAAAATGATTTTACTTTACCTTTAACACACCAAACAAATAGACAAAAATGTTGTTAACAAATAAAAA